CTACAGCCTTCAGCATTCAGATGGCAATTTTAACAAAGCTTGGGGGCTAGACAAGGGACAAAACGACTGAACTGAATGTTAATTACACTCTGCAGCCTTATTTTCTTTTGATTTGGAGCTGACTGGCAACTAAATTAACAAAAGTGTGACCATAACTGCTGCCCTATTTTCATTTAAAAGGAGAGCAGACTCTAAAAGGCTATCTTTACAAAGAAACAAGTGAGGTCTACTGATTATTGTTAAAGGGCACTGTCTTTAAAAACATAATAATAACCCCCAAAATACTCAATTCCAAAAATTGATGCGATTAATTAGTCACTAGCACGTCTGATTCCACCCTCTGATTCCTGGACTTACGCCTTTTAAAATACAACATAATAAAAATTCGATGTAATGATTACTCACAGATAGCAATGATCTAATTTTTAGTCATGTGACCACAGTTCATGCTTAGACATCTTTCCGTGCAGACGCTTCAAGATTAAACGAGAGAGTAACTGGCATTTCAAAACCAAAATATTAGTATTTGATGGGACAGTAATAATTTGTTGTCTGATTTTTATTTTGCTCAGACATTCTTGCTTGTCATAATAGCGTTTATTTTGATTTGTTAACGTTCGCTTACAGTACTTGTATTTTGTAGTATTAACAGTGAGATGCTTTTTCATCCCTTCCCCTCACCCCTCTGTGCCTTGTAAGGAAGCTGCAGCTGCACTAAGTTGTATTTGATCGTTGTCATTTCTCCGTCCTTTTGCACCTGCAGCTCTCTTGGTCTCATCTTAACACCTGGCACCATGAATTATCCTCTTTTTCTTCATAGTCAGTAGCAAATCCCATTTAGAGCTAAGCAGTATATATTCTGGCAGTCAAATGACCATAAATGCCAGAATGTATTTCTCAAATGTAAATATAACTGAATAATTATACTGAAAACGCTCTGAGACTCTACAGCAAAGAATGTCCTTCTTTAATACCAACATGCATAGCCTTAAAAGGCTGTGAAGGAAAGATTTCAGAATTCTTCATCTGAAGTGTCAGGTCTGGCAAGCGTAGGCAGTTAAAACTTTAGAGCTTTAGAATCCTAAATATTAGATTTGCTCTTTATATAAATCATAACTTTTTTTTTTTATTTTAAATACTCATTTGTGCAAGTTACCCTAACTTTCTGCACTTCAATTTCCCTCTCTAAAATCTGGATATGTACGCAACAAAAAATTTCTTTTTTTGTTTGCTCAAACAGAGCATTATACATTTGTACTTGACCTACAGCACTGCAAAATGCAACGTTTGTTAGTTCAAATAGCAACCTTTTCAGAAGCAGTGTATTCAAACCACTGATATTAGGGAGCAGCGTTCCTACGTTTGTACTTAAATCACTTGAAAATCGCTGTAGCTGCTACAAAAGAGGAAAAGCATATACGTGAGCAGCTTTTTTCAAAAGCGGTTATATTTTTTTCCACACAATTTTGAAGATATTATTTGCATGTCATAAAGGGTTGTTTCGGTTCTAGTTACTATTTTAAGTTTTGATAGTACTACAGACCACCCTGTACTCAGTCACTGTCCTGTACTTCTCCTCTTTTCACACAAAAGCAGCTGCAAAACAAAGTTTTTCTAAAACCAGTCAAGAGTAAAATTCTTTCTCATTTGTCTTCCAGACACGAAGATCGATTGAGAAGTTATTAGAATGGGAAAACAATAGGTTATACCACAAGGTGAGTGCCGCAGGGAGCAGCTTCGTACTGTTGGAGTTTGAATTGCACAGTATGGAAACAGATGCTTTTGTTGAACGAAAAATATGAAAGGTGGACAAATGGGCCAGTCTGTGTGCTGCAATAAAATACAGCTCATTTTTCTTCTTTTTCTTTCCTCCTTGTCTAGCTGTGCTTGCATTGGAGACTAAGCAAAAGGAAATGTGAAACGAATAACATGATGGAATATGTAAGTTAAAGGGCTGTTTTGTGAGTTTCTCTATTAAATGATCATTTATTTTGCTTCTGATCTTATTCTTTTCATGATTATTAATCAGTAAAGGTGTCAGGAGCTTAATCGCCTGAGTGCAAGGATTTTCTACGGTTCACAGATGCATGGTTTCATGTGCAGGACTGATTTATAAAGTTATGAATGACTTGAAAACAAGGCTTCACTGTGTTCTGAAAAATAATAAATTAATTGCCAAGATAAAATAGCTTGAACATGTGTTGATGGAGTGTGAAATTTTAGATGCTGTATAAAGAATAACCACAACTTTGGTTACGCAGCAAGTCAGATATGGCTGTTTTATATAATGCTAATCAAGTCTAAAAGTATGGAAGAAGACCTTTCAACTAAGCTGCTGGAGCTTAAGAAACCTTTAGCCTTTTTAGATTTTAACTGCCCCTTGCCTCAACTATCTAGAAAGTATCTTTATCTCTAGCTGGTGTCACTAAAATATTTTTAAGTCAATCTCTGAAACAAATTAAAACTCCAATATTTAGCTGAGATTCCATAAGCCTTTCTTAGAAATATGCAGTGAGAAGTTGTGTGCAGTTTAAAATGAATGATATCCAATGAGGGTTTTCAGTTTGTTTAGCTGGCTACCTTCTTGCTCTTTTTTTTTTTGCTGTTTATATTTCCATTTTCAAAATCTCACGGAGGTAAGCAAAGGGTACTAAATAGGAGGAAATTAAGCTCCTAAATTATAAGGCACAGTAGAATATGCAGAATTTCTTTAAAACTCTAAGAAGCAAACAGGGAAGGGTTAACTTTTACAAAACAAAAACTAACCCTTGAGAAATATCTACTATATTATCTCTAACTTATTTATAATCTTTCATTATATGATATGTTGTCTATTCTTTGAAACAGTTTGGCTATCATAGCATATAAAAATTAAGAGTGATTAAGTGGTTGGAAGTTATCTTAAAATCATCTTTTTCTGTGTTAGCCTTTCCCTTTTTTCCTGTTTCTACACTAAGTCTTATTTCTATAAGAGATTTTTAAAATGCCCTTTTTACAGAATAGCTCTATTCATTTTCCTGTATAGGTAGACTTTTCATATTGCTATCTATTCTATAAATATGTTAATATAGAGGCATGATATATCACTATAAAAAGAATAAAGCAAATTTCAGTAAGTTAATTTAAGCTTGACCTAAATGAAAGTGTGTTTTTGTCTCACCAAAAATTTCTGTTTTTCCAGAGAACTTGGTTGCATCAAATCTTTTGCAGATTAAATTGAGGCAAAACATTAAAGTGCTAGTTTTCAAATACAATATGGAGTATGGCTCAGCTATACATTTAAAAATAAATGTTCATTGTTAAATAAGATTTTAAATCAGTTAAACTATTTACATTTATAATATGAAAGCGTGGTCATATAGTTTTACAGGATCAAGAACTAAGATTTTCTTTGATCTTTAATTTGCAAAGTATCTAATAAGTAATCTCTGACTATTTAATTTAATGAAATAATTTTTACAAAACTTTTCTGCACCATTTTCAGCTATCTAATTTGCTAGTCTTTTTAAAGCTACGTTTAATTTGTATTCACGGTTTAGTTAATAAAAACTCTTACCCTCTTTTTTTTTTTTTTTTCAAAATGAGTGCTTTGAATTAAGTTCTTGTACCCGAAACTTGATGCTCTGCTCACTTAAAGTTCTGTATCCACCACAGTAGGTGCTAAACCATATACAGTATATTCTTACTCATTTGGCATAAGCACAGACTTCCAGCTTTACATCCTCCTCTCGCTTTGAAATCTGGCCTGCATACCAGAAGCACTGATAGCGTATGACGATCAACTCACGTCAGTGGCCAGCAGAGCACGAGGAGTTTGCAGTACTTCTGAAAATCAAGCCACTTCTGAATATGTCTAAAAATACAGACTTAAAAGCCTGATTTTGAGGTTCATTATTTCAAAGTGTTGTCTTCGGAGATCAACTCAGAGCCTTTTTTTTTCTTTTCTCATGATCAATATGCTGTCAGAGATAGAAGTATTTAGACTGTAAGCAACCAAGTTGTTTTCTCCTATCACCTTAATCTACCTGCTAAAGTACACGAGTTACTTTGTTTTCTGTATTGTAGTCAGTAATCTGTACCTAATAAATTTTAACTTATGAAGCATTTTACAGTCAAAGCGTTTAGAAATTATGTTGTAACTTCTTAGAAAGGCCAGCTACTTTTACAAGTACATAAAATCCTTATTTATTTAATCAGATGCATTTCTTTTTGACAAATATGATTGTACTGCTATATTGGTAATTCTATGACTCTCTCTCTGAAGAAAGAAAAGTAAAATGAATGTTTTCTTTAAGCTATCTGTTAAAATACAAAGTAGGATAAAGCTTTAGGGTGTATTCTTCACTTTATCCTACAATGTGTAGATAGCTCATAAAATCAGGGTTTAAGTTAGAATCAGGTCCTAAAGAATATCATAAGAAACATTTGGTCAAGCATCTTGTTAACTGCTTACCAGTCTTTCTGATACAAGAACTCTGCAATAGTTGAGATATACCTTTCTATATAAGTTTTGAACTATAAACATGATCTAGAATCCTCAGTTAAGTTAAAAAAAAAAAAAAAAAAGAAATAGGGGGAATTGCATGATGTGTTTGAAAATTAACTTTGAATATGTTTTGCCTTCTGGTTTCTTTTTTTTTTTTTTTAAATGAATACCTGTATCTCTGTTTTAAATTTTCCTTAATGAAATAAGTGAATTTTGGTAAAGATTATTTAGTTAGTAGCTTATTTCAGTTTATCTGAATATGTTAAGCATCCCTAGGCAAACTATCCTCTTTCCATTTGATTCTTTAAGAGTTTTGGTTTTCTGCCCAAAGTTAAGTTCTATCTAACATGATTTTCTAATTGTTTCCTACCTAAGGAAAGTACTGTGATACCTAATTGTCATCTATTTCTCTTCTGTAATTTGAGGTACTTCCAAAAAGACAAAAAAAAATAGCGAAAATGTGAATTGTCAGTGTGATAGACTTCAGATAATAGAATTTCTTCTGTTTTCCATTGAATATGTATTTGTTTTCTTTTTATACAGGTCATCCTTATAGAATTTTTACCAAAGACACCGATTTTTCGACCAGATTAGCGTTTGCTTTATTTAAAGAGACTTATCCAAGTACGTTGTCTTTCCAATGGTGCCTTGCTTGGTGCTCTCCTGGTGGTGACATAGCGTTGGTTCTACAGAATCTTGTGGTGTTTTCATTCTTTTTCATTTGTGTTTTTTTGTTTTGTTTTTTTGTTTTTAAAAAGAGCATGTTATAAGTGCGTTTGGTCAAACTTTGCAAAAGTCATTTCATGCAAATGTTAACTACTACTTAAGTTATTACTTTTACTTCTTTTGTTTGTTAATGTATCTTGATTTTCACAGTCTTTTATATGTGTGCGCGCGTGTGTGTGTACATATATATATTACTATAAATACACAGCTGAAAATGGTCTACAAGTGAGCAGGTATTTTTTTTACCCCCTAATGACACAACTGATTAATTGTACATTGTATAAGTCCTTTTAATTATTAATTTATGTTTTGAAGTAACTTCTATGATCTACCTAAATTTTTGTCAGTGACTTGTCAGCTGTAAATATTTTTATTTCTTTTTGGGATATTGGCTAGCCTCTTCCATCAAGAGGATGAGAGAAAGTTCTTTTTGAAGCTATGCTTTTTGGAACCCAAATGTCATTGCATTAGTAGAAATCTCTGTGCTTTTCATGAAGAAATCCTATCAGCTGGTTCTGAAAAAGTTCTAACTTAAAGGTAAATAAATGGAAAATAGAATTATTTTACTCAGACTAGAAGAATCACAGAGAGAAGAACTGCATGCATCTGATTAGTAGAGCTCAGGATCACAAAAATATATTAGTATTGCAGATTATAGTGTAGCTATTTTAATTCAGGCTAATGCCCTGTATCAGCTTTATTCTTACTGTTTACCAAATCCTGTACACGGGGTGCAGAAGTACTTGTTTCAGTGAATTTATTGTCCGAGAGGATCTTTCAGGGGTTTTTTTGTTTTGTTTTGTTCTTTTTTAAAGCCACATAAGCCGAAAAAAGTTGTTAGGGAAATCTTGAACGATACAGTTCCAGACGCAAATGGAGGTGCCATGTATCAAAAGTAATCAAAGCAGGGTACGCTGGACAGCAGTGTAAATTTGAACGTGTTGGATAAATATTTATTGCACCCTTTCTTCAGCTCATTTTGGTTTACAAAGCTTATTTTCTGCACAGGAATAAACATTTTTTTAAACGGGATATATGATATATACTTGGGTCAGGCCAGTTGTATATTATTTCTTCTACTTTTATCTTAGTTGTACAGATCTTCACACATTATAGTTTCTTTAATTGCTACTCAGTCATATTTTTAAGTTTGCTTTATGTCTCTGAAATTACTGTACATGAACAGTAGTGTAAGCTATGAATATGTTCCTTATACAGTTGTGGTAGCAAGCAATAATGTGAATATATGAAAAACAGATACTCTGCTTAATATTTGTATGAATGAAAAGTTGATACCACTACAAGAATAACCTTCTCTTTTTAATCTTTTAAATACAAGTTTTATTTCAAGGTAATATATTACAGGTACCTTGATGCTGTGAACTATTTTTCTATGTCTTCAAAATATTTATTCTATGTAAAATCTTCTCTAGTGAGTATCATATTCCTAAATGTTTGATAGTAGGAGCAGTCTAGAAAGTTTTAAGTTTTCTTAATCTAAACCCTCTGTATCTATTCCCCAAAGTCATTCTTTGCTCAGTTTTTTTCTGTGGGTTCCTGATGTTTACTTTGAAAATAGCTCAGCTATACTTTTTGTACAAGCGTACAATTGTGTTTCTTTGACTTGACTGAATATGTTTTTTCGTTTACCAGTATCAGTTTTGGACTCAGTCTCCTGAGTCTCACAACAGTTTCTTCCCTGGAATAACTGGTTATAATTTTTTTTTAATTAATTTCAGCCTCTTCTTTAGTACAAATCTGTATCTGCAGCACTTCTCCTTTCTCCCAGAAGTTATAATCTTTGGCTAATTTCAGCCTGTGAAGTGAGCCAGAAGGCTAAATTTGATGGCAGCTGAGGTGATGCAGGTTGGAGGCACAGGGAAGAGGTTGAAACTGAACAGAAATATTAACTGGTAATAATGTTGATGATCAGAGATAAATGTTGATTTCTTTAAGTGCCAGTTTTCAATAAAGTAAGTATTGAAGCACACTAAGCCTAGGTTTTATTATCAAAATTCACAGTTGACTATATAGATAGCTGTTTCATGGATGCATTTTTCCACTGACAGTTTATTAGTGTGGAGGGATATCTCAGATATGGCTTGTATGTACATAGCAGCACTGAGTTTAGCTACAGTATTTAGCTATGTATGTACATAGCAGCACTGAGCTAATCACCTTAGCTTATTAGCCAAGCTTGCCAGGCTAAGTTTTGTGACATTACAACTTCCTCGCCAGCAGTACTCAAACCTATCAACTTTAAAGCTAATTTGAGTGTGAGTGGTGAATAGAGTATGGCTTAAAGATTTGCAGGGTGTATTTCTTTAGTGAAACTTCCACATAATACTAGTGCTGTTTAAGATCTTGCCTACTTCAGGTGCATCTACTGTCATCCACTTGAGTTAGCAGCCATATCAGTATTTTAACTATGACTTACTCTCTAAGAATTCTGTTATAGGTGGCAAAAGTAGAGCTTTGAGCAAATGAAATGTTAAATCCCTTAGTAAGGAGGCCAGCCTAATTGCCTCTTAATGCATTACTGATATTTTAGTGCAACAGGAAACAGTGTCTCTGACTTAAAATAATACTAAGAAACTTGGGAAATTGGATTTATATATAGATGAATTTTGCTCACCAAAAATGCTACTTTCCTGACGAGGTAGTACACTCACATTGTATGAATGTTATACAATGTTTTTACACAAAAACTTTCTACTTATAATTAAAAAGATCGAAATTGAATGTAGCAAAAACTTTAAATCATCTATTTAATACTTGCAGCAGCCAGTGGGATTTTTTCTTTGATGTTTTTTCAGAAATGTCTAAATCTGATTATTTTATGTGCTAGTAAGAAGACATATCTTAACTTTTTTGTTTTGCCCAGTTGACAAAGTAAAAAGTTGCAATAGTTCAAGCAGGCCAGAAGCTATATTAGGACTTCCAGGAGGTAGGCTATTCTTTGCTAATTGTATTGGCCTAATCTATTCAGCTCCTCAGCAATTCCTGCAAATCTATTCCCATTTTTCTTGAATAGTGAAAGTTAGATAGTGATACTCTGATAAAGCTAATTATTGTGTGTGGATACAGTGGCCTTTAACTGGTCAGTCAGGATTTGTTTCTTACTGTAATATAAGCAAATAAAATTATTTTTAATCTTCTAATGATAGGTAGAAATAAGTCCTTGAGAGAGAAAGGCTTTCTGTCTGACTGTACATGAAAAGTTCTGTAGAGTTTATCTGTTGTTGAATAGCTGTGGTTTGACATTTACACTGCGATTAGCAAATTTCACCAGGGATTAAAATGTTTATGGAGAATAGGTTACATGAAATCAGTAAAAGTTTTGTAACAGCTTGGTAAGAGTCATTTTAATAAACTATATATAAGAGCAAAACCAAAAATGTCCATGGGCAATCAAAAATTTCCCATGATACTCAAACCATGTACAGTAGAGTCTAAGAACTTTTTACAGTAGTTGGATTGTAAATCATCATCTGTAAATATAATTTAACAAATTAATTTACTTTTTTGTAAATCTCAAGACCATGGTGTTTATTTGTAATACTCCAACTCTGAGGTATATGTTTAGGTAAGAGTCTGTAAAGTCATTCTTTCACCGTCAGGGTTACAGGGGAGACCGTTAAAATACAGTCAGTAACTGCTCAGAAACCAGAAGGGAAAGAAACAGAACCTGTATTTATTCCCCTTTTTCCCCCCTAGAGTCTTAATTTTAAATTGATCCTGCTGTTTTGGGAGCCCTAGCTTTCGGTTTCTGAGCAGCTGGCAGTAATGCAAATTGTTCACCGAAAAAACCCATTTAAATTCTGAACAGTTTAAAGAGATCACTTAAATTGAAGAGGAAAAAGACTTTTTAAGCAAAGATAATCCTTGTTTCTTTCAAGTTCTCCAAGCACTGCTGTTGAGTAATTAAAAGAAGGATCATGATGACCCCACATTAGGTCAAAATCCAGATGATTTTATGGAAAGGAAATGCTCAATTAGAGAGGTCTCAGAGACCCAAATGTCTTGGATTCACAGTTACGACTTAAGGGATAAGTAATGCTAGCTAGTTTTGTATTTGTGACTATAATCATTTATGCTGTTTGTCTGCAATCTTGCTTATGCAAAGAAAGCTTTTTAAAAAGAAGATCTATATTCACTACCACTAATTTGCTCAAATTTCTGTGATTCTTCTCCCTAAAGACACATTGCATTTCCATCCCTAACCGCAAAATGTGTGATGGTTATAATGCCTTTAATAGCCATACGTTAGGTAGAAGTATTAATTTCTCAGGGACTAGTAGGAAATATGAAAATTGAGTTAATGAGCTGAATGCCTATCTGCCATGAAAGCTTATTTTGCAAACTGCATCCTAGAAAGCTTCTGATTGTAATATGCATGGCCATTTTGAATGTTATCAATATATAGGTATGAGAGCTCCTTTATATTTTAGAATGGGTTAGAAAGCATAGATGAAGTCTTGCTGATTTGGATAGTGAGAGTGAGTGTTTCTAATGGTGCTTCCTTCTTCATTCCTGTATTTGTTCTTTTCTATAAAGTTCTCTCTACAGGCTGGATGAAAGAGGAGATTCTAGTAATGAGAAAACAGTATCATTCTTCCTGCTAGGGAAGTAGAAATGTTTCAAGGGGAGAAGTACTCCAGAAGCAAACACTTTTGCTGCTGAAAAGCTCATGCATTTGTTCTCCAGTAGCTATAGATAGCTGTTTGGGTTAATTTGTTTGGAATAGTGTTTTAAAGTTTATCATTTTATTTTAAAATCATCCTATTGCATATTGATGTTTCAGTCAGCATGGGGTGAATTAGAAACCTTTTTTGAAAATTTTAAAAAAGGAGTCCTTTCATGAAGCTTTATACGTTAATGTGTTTATCTCCACCACGTGACGTCTGGATAATACATATTTTACCAACTAAAATTTACTGTTTTTGTGGAAGATGTCCTTTTCAGAATTCTTCTGCTTCATTTAGATCATTAATATTTCATTAAGAATTATTTTCTTGAAAAAGATTCACAAATGCTTGACTCCTGGGAATAGAGCAGACTATTAGGAAAGATACATTGAGGCAAAGGATAAAACATAGGAAGTAGGAGAAGCAACCTCCAAAAGACTGAACTTGGGGATTAGGTAGAAAATTCTGAATGTGATGGAAGATAATTTTGAACTGTATGAAATGGTATTGAATGATGAAATTTAAGTAAAGGCTTGTGATCCATTTCAGTAATTATGTAGACTGTCTTAATTCCTGATACATTTTTGATTCTAACAAGTGTGTCATTCATTTCTTTTGTATGTACCCTAATTCATAGACAGTTCTGCAGTTATGCAGATTTTGAGGTAAGCTTCCCTCTTAACTGACCATCTTTTAGTTTAAAATATCTAGACCAAAAAGGAATTGCTGATGAGAGCTGCACAGCGAGTACAGAACAGTCTTTTTCTATGCTGGAGCCTGTAATGCATGGCTAATTGTTTCCAAAGAAAATTCTTGATTTGTCCAGACAGCTCCTGTCATGTGACAATATATCTAATACCCAAGGAATAGGATTCAGTTAGAATAACTTAAGTTCAGGTAAGTTAAATAGATTTTTTTTTAGCTAGCTGTAATTTTTTGTGGAGAAGGGAACTGTTGAAAAATGATCACTTTTGGAGGGCAGATCCTTGTGTTTTATAATGTTTATTGAAGTTTGTTTTATTTTTTTTCTCATTTGTAACTTCATCACTAAAAGTTACTTTGTTTCATATCAAAACTAGAGTTGGTAATTATTTAAAGATTTTTTCTATTACAGTGCTTTAGGTTTTGAGTCCATTTTCTAAACCGTGTTCAGAAATTAAAAAAAAAAAAATCAGATATCCTGATGCAGTATAGCTAATATTTTAAGTGGCTCTGTGTTTTAACTGATTTCATTGTATCAATAGAAGAAATCTCACTTAAATCCTAAATGTTGATCTCTGATCTCCTGTGCTTGCAACAGGCTTTCTAACTTGTTAGAATATTCAGTGTGTGTACTTGTTCATGTTGTCAGTGAGCAGTTTGGTTCAGTAAGAGTTCAAGGAACATGGAGTAGTTACTGCTTTGAAAAGTGTGATTTAATTCTTGTTTCCATAAAAGACTGAATATGGCAATGAGAATACAAAATTAATTCCAAACATGAATTTAAAAAGGATGAATAACTACCAGTGCCTAAATGTTGTGTGCTAAATTAGCCCTATGTAATTCATGTTGCTTTAAAAGAATTTGCAGAAAACTGCATTGAACTGTGTGTGTTTGGGAAAAGCCTGTTAAAAATATAAAGCAGTAACCAAAAAGAAGTCTAAAAGGCATGTAGTCTTTCAAGTAAGCAAACTTTTAAAATAATATTCTGGACTATGCTAAAAATCCATTTGAAGCATAAAATACATAAGCAATAATTTACCCTAGAACTGGATGTTAAGGAAGCTGCTATTTGCATGTAGAGACTCCGTGGTAATTACGTTGATTGGGGATCTCCTCTCATAAGGAGTTTAGAAAGATGGGGTTGCTGTCATTTTCACTATTCTAACATTCCTCTTCATATATTTTAAGTCCGGGTGAGAGATTGAAAGCTTAGAGGCCAGTACTAGGTTCACAGGGCTTTGGGAGGAGAAGGATGGGAAGAAAAGGACTTTTTTTAAAGGCTGCACAATTGTAAATATGCATATTTAAGAGTATTTAACCACATCTTTTAAATTACTAAATTCTATTGTTGAATTATAGAATATTATTTAATACATCAGCATTTCTTTTTTTCCTGACCTGACCCAGAATTGGAATTCACTCCAATATAAAACTTTTTAAAAGCAGTTCTTAAGTTGTATGTATTACAAACTAATAAAATAATTGCAAACCTATCTACTAAGACTTACTGGTTTTCATCCATATGACATGTTAAAAAAAAAAAAAAAATACAAAGGTCTCCTAACTTCCAGTTAATGCTTTTAATCTGATTGGAGGAGGGGGAGGAGGAAAAATTGGTTTGGGGTGATTTGGGTGACTGTGAGACTAGAGTTACCAAACTTAAGAGTCTTTGCATGAAATGTTTCAGACTAGCTTGTCAGTAGGTCTGCATTTGGAGTTCTTTAAGTTTGGAGTTCTTTAAGCTTTTTCAAACCATGATATCAGTAGCATTTATTACATATATTATTGTTATGATTAAATAATAACGTTACAGTTGTTGAAGCCGTTTCTACAGTTTTTTTACACCTTAGTGCTCTCGAACAATTAATATATGCTTTCCATCGAGCTAATGTAGACATCCTTTACTCACAAAGAAATCAGTTCCATTTGTGTAATTCAAGCATTTTTAAGACTGTCAGATACAAAATACTGGTTAACCTTAGGAGCAAAAGTAGTTGTACGCTCCTCAGTGCTCTAAGAAGGGCGTAGATTTTAATCAACCAGCTTCTTTTTTGTGTGTGAAACATTGTACAGCTCTTTGGTTACTTTAGTATAGAAAGCTTAACAGCATCTTTATAGGGTGTTTGTGTTTGTATAATATATATGTGTTTATGTGTATATAAAGAGATATATATGTATATATGCACACATACAGTGTCGGGGGGTGGGGGGGTGTCCCCAGAGGTACTGTGAAGCATTCAGGGTGTTGTAATTTCAGCTCGCAAAGCGGTATGATACAATGTTGCTGAGCAAAAAAGCACACGATAGATTTAATGTAGCCAATTGTGTACTTCTGAAAAAAAGAGTAACTGTTCAGTGTGAGTTAATTTTGGATTTTTTCAGCATCTCTCTTTTAGGCTTTGTGCCGCATTCTTCTGGACAAATGCGTATTCCATGTGGGCCACTGTTCTGCTAAATGCTCTCAGTTCTCCTTTTGCAATCAAGATTATGTTGCTAAGGAGATTTTGCTTTTATTGGTGCCATTGATTTGTGTTAATACGTTTTGAATACCTCTCGGTATTCTTCCGTAGACAAGGCCAAAAGAAAAACTTCCCTGAGTTTCCCGATTTACATTACAAATGGAGCGGTGGTGTAATGAAGCCGATGTAAAGTGGGCAGTTGAAAGGGAACTAAAGAAGGGCACTCAAGTGAGAAATGAAGAAATGTGCCGAGAGCGGTCTGCGGGCCGCCTTCGGCCCAGCTGCAGGAGCTGGCTCAGGCTGGAGGCAAGGGCAGCGGGAAGAGCGAGCGCCTCCATCCGCGGAGACCACCCACTCGCTGCGGCCCAGCTCCGCGGATTACCCTGCTGCTTCCGACGGGGCCACGGGCAGGCAGGGGGCAGCCACAAAGCCCGGGGGTGCCCTGAGGGCCCCCCTTCCTGCCCTGCCTCCAGGGGTGCCTCGGGTTTTCTCTTCCTCTGTGCTAAGCAAACCCTTTTGATAAAACTCAGGGTAGCTGGCTATTTCTGCAGGGAAGAGGAAGGAGGCATTTCTTACTTATCACACTTCTCACTCTGGCCCAGTGCTGCAGCCAGAGGGACTTGGCTGCGGCCTCCCATGTGTCTTGGGCTGGGTGGGCAGACCTGGTCTGCCTGGCACGGCGGGGGGGGGAAGGTGCCCCACAGAGCCATCAAGGTTTGGGAGGGGAGCTCAGAGGCTGGAAACTGGTCTGTGGAGCTGCAAAACAACTTGGCTTCAGGCTCTCAGGCCTGCCACCAGGCCCCTGCACCACTCCTGGGGCTCTCCGGCCACCTTGCCTGTGTCCTCTGTGCAAGGCTCCTCGCCACCATGTCTCACCTTCCCATGGCTCTTGGCTGGGGCTCAAATGACGCACGGCTCGCTGTAGCAACGCTGCTGCTTCCAGGCTGCAGTGAGAGCTGGGCCCCAGCTGCTGCTGCTCCCCGTTGCCCTCAGCAAGGAGGTGGCGTGGCTGCCTAGGTGCTGCCTGGTGCCTCAAAGGTCCACCTGCACTTTAAAGACCCAGAAATGTTACATCTTACAATTAAGAAAGCCTGAAGCCATTTTACCTGCTTCTTCCCATCCCCCTGAGCCAGCTTCCCTCGTGTTCCTCATGGCTCCACCAAAGAGGAGCCCCAGGAGGATGTCAGTCCTGCTGCCCTGATGTGCACAGGCAAGGACCTCCCTCCGCTGCTCTCCCTCTTCTGCATGACGTGGTTGTGCTCCTGAAGGACTCAAAGACCTGGTAGTTTTTTGTATGAAAAGACTGTTTGGAGAAAATTCACACCAAAAATCCCAAGTGTTCCCATCCTCCAGCATTTGTCATCACGGGGATCTTCAGCCTGTGGTGATCCAAACTCCTACCTGCTGCTTGACCTCGGGACAGCACAGAGAAGGCTAGGCCTGTCTGTACAAACAAGGTAAAGGGGTCTTTGCTGAATTATGTCGGTATTTGTCAAAGCAACTTGGTGGTTGCACTGCAGACACACAGAGAGAGATACGGACTTCTGTCCCCAGGCATGGCAACTTTTACCTGATTGCAGAAGAA